TCCCGTATGTACGAAGGCATGTCCACAGACTGTTGCGTGGGATCCGGTCATACGCTTTCTCTAGGTCCACTGACAGCAATACAATTAATAGTAAATATCATAATTTTCTACAGCATAATGGATAGGTGGTTGATCACATTTATTCTGGCTGATGGTCAAAAACCTGCTAAGCATGGGTAGCTCTATCAGAAGCTGAAGCCTCCGTTAACATATCTTCGAGGTTCATTGAGGCACGCAAGCCCCGTTGACACGTCAAGGATTGCGATCTCGGTAGTTAATATCATTAGCCATTGTACGACTGATGGTAACTTGCTCATATAAAATTACTTACGGCACAACTGGTGAACCAACTCCATTGAAAGCGGTCACTGCTGTTCTGAAAAATGTAATTTCTCACGCATCAGAAATAAGGGCTGACTGTATTCGAAAAACAGCAAAAAACAGTATAAAAAGTTGAGGCAGAATGTGTAATGTGATCGTACGATGACTTGATGCAATTGTTTAAAAGTCGGCAACGATTTAAACTTTACTTTAAAATGAAAGAAGCTCACAACGACACGGTCGTTTCAAGCTTAAAGTCTTATCCTCATTCTTTGCAGTAGTTTCACTGCATTTTTTACTAAGGTGACGTTACTGCAGGTTAAAAAAATCGTTTGTCGATGATCGAAGCTCATGTTGCATAATCGAACGATATGGCAAAACTTTTCGCAAATGAACAAAAAGATGCCGTCCCTAACGATGGCAAATCCGAATTCAATGAGAAACGGCGCGTAGAGAAAATGATGATACGAATGCTCGAGGGACAGCAACCATCACGGCGCGACCTTTCTTGGCTGGTCGACAAAATGATCACTGTGCTATCGATGGAGCCGATGTTGCTGGAACTCGATCCGCCGATAATCATTTGCGGGGACGTACATGGTCAGCTAACCGACCTGCTACGACTATTTAACCACGTCGGATGGCCAGAGGAATGTCGGTACTTATTTTTAGGTGAGTGGCGATAGATTATTATACATTCGTTTATCCATAAAACACGACCTATAATGTTAATGAGAAAGAATTAACCCTTTTATGCAAAAGATACCTATCTAAATGTGGCATCATCCTTTCGTGCGAGCAACAACTGCCATTCGAGCTGTAATCAGAGCGTCGCATATGCAGTTCCGTATTGCAAGGCATTCGGATTGCCTCACATCTTCAATTATCCTCTATTCTCTGTGAATCGATTGTTTCAAGATCACGTCATTTTCAAGGTAAAACAATGGGATCACTGCAAGTTAACCTTATCATGTTTTACGTTATGATAAGGTAGTGTACCGACGTGCGGTCATCCTCTGCACTAAATATAAGTGGCATAAACTTTACAGACATGGCATCATCTAAGCGAGTCTAATAAAACATAACGGCGTCTCCGAGTAGAGAATGATGCTGCTGAGCTCAGTGCATAAAATTTAGAATATTCTCCAACTGAACGTTTACTTTAATTCATGCGCAGATCTGTTATGGTCTAATATGTGTTGCCTCACTAACGGGAATTTTGGCTTTCATTACTGAACTTCAGTGGCCGGTGTCATCCTGAGCTCCTCAAGCACAACCGCTGCAACCACATCGATACAGATCATTTTAGAAGCTGAACTTACCTTTAAAGCGTTGAAAACCAATTTCTGGTTGCCTTGTACCAAACACGCTCTAAGAATTCGAAGTGGTGGCGATGAGAACCTCTGTCAAGGTCGAGAAACAGAGTAAACCGAAAAATGGTTCGGTTCTTCAAGAGGTCGGTCCCTCTAAGTATTTTGAACTGGCTCTTCTTAAAGACGGCAGAGATAAATGAATTGAATCCAAGCACTGAATTGGCATCAGCGAATTTTGCAAGGCCGCTACAAGTGTAGAGGGATCAAACTACAAAGACAGACATGAAGATCATACTTGCAAAACGTAGTCTCTCTCCAAACAGTATGAAGCTTGTTTCTTCTTCTACATACAGCAAACAGTATGGAGCTGTTCCTTGCAATTTATCAGC